AGGATTTACATAAATAGGCCTAACCTTTGACTTGAAAATAAAAGGTAAGTACAGAGCCCTGACAGAACAGCAGGTCATTGGTATTTGCTCTGTAAAGTACTGCCTCTGATGCTATGACAAGAATGCTAGGAATTCCACTGATCACTGTGTGCTGATAGGGCTCAAAGGTATGCAGCCAGCTAACAGAAACCCAGCCTACCTGACTGATCGAAACTGCAGTACTCCCACGCATTTATAACCTGCAATCTGCAAGCGTGGGAAAGTGTGCAAGGCCTTAGACTAATTCCTAAGGAAGAAAAAAAAAAAAGGAGAAAGTTGTTTTCTCAGAGACTATTTTAAATGCTTGCTGTTTGGGCAACTTATAAGAAAATTAACACAAAATCTCCAAATGAGTATCTTAAATAGCTTTCATCACTGTGTGTATTGCTGTTCAAGAGAATTTAGAATTAACGTTGAATGGGCCAGCTGATATCACTACCACATTCAGGATTATGCAGATGTGAGACTTTGTCAAAGATGATCTGTACTTGCAAGCAGTCTTCAGTGGTGGGAATGGTAACACACTGTAGTAGGTTAGTAGCCTGGCTTGATTTTTATCTCATGAAACTCTAGGCAGTAAACCTACAGGAAAATTGTATGCTATGTGTTTGTGTTTCTTACATTTTGCCAGGCAATGGCTCTAAGCTCACGAGTCAGAGAGGGAAAGGGAAACCAAACAAAATAATCTTTTGTATTTTTATGTCTAGCACAATAACAAATAATATGTTAAATAAATTTTTCTTTTCTATATGGATAGCACTGCAAAAGTGGAAACAATAAGTGAAAAGAGTTTTATGTTCATATTTTAGAGAGAGAGAGAGAGAGAGATGCAGTTTCCTGTTTCACGTTGTGACACAAGCACACATAAGTATCCTGTAGGCTGTTTCAGACTTGTTTCTCTAATTAATCAAAAGTGATCCATTACAGAAAACCTGCAGGAATGTCAAAGATGGATGCTTCTGTTTGCCTTGCTTGTTGCAACAGAGAGGGAAGCTGTTAGTGCCTGCCTAGTCAATTATTGAAGAATGGTGTAACAGGGCCTGCCGCCTTTCTCTCCAAGGGCCAGGAAGCCTGGGGCTAGCCAGGGCTGTGCTGTTCTCCCTGTCTCCTAGACCTGCGCTGGGTTGTGGAGTGAGGTGGACTACCCCGCAATGGGGGGACCAATGAGCGAAGAAGACAGGCTCCCTCCATGCCCTGGACACAGACTCACCAAGCTTCTTGGTGGGGCAGCAGGAGGGCCCTGTGTCCACAGGAGATCGGTCGAGCAGTGTCTCACGTCAAGAAACCTGACGTCGGCCCCCGCCCTGCACCCAGCAAGCTCCAGTGCTGTGCAAGAAGCCCAGCCCAGTGCCCACCGGCATGGGCTTCAAAGGACACCGCTTGGCACGACTTCCTTCCCGCACCTGCCAACAGGCATGAACCCAGGGTAGACTTTTGAATGGAAAAGCGTCCAAAGTGGCAACGTCCAATGCCTGGACGGCGTTCACAGTGATACAGGCCCACTTTTGTATTAGTTCTGGCACGTGTCTTTGCCAAGCTCAGCCATCCCCTCCTTCTGTGACTGCTGATTGCCCCAGGCCTTGCTGGGCAGAGTGCTTGACCAAGTGCCACCTCCTTTGGCTGGGCAGCTCTCACTGTGACACCACTAGCGTCATTCTGTGATCTCCCTCTGCAAAGTATAGGACAGTCTGCTGTTGCCTCCATTATACAGTGGTGCGATTGGCACTGTTTCACCAATGCATCAGACTCATGGTTAGCATAGTAGAGTAGTTATACATCAAGTCGCATGCCGCACTATGAACTGCTTAATTTCTTGCATGCTAAACTGTGGCTGTGTGCCCTCCTCTGTCAGGCTGACCACATCTGGTAAAAATGGATGCGATAGTTACAGATTGAGCAGTAGTGAGGCTGTCTCAGGGAACTGAGGGCAAGAGTTCATAAACAAGACATTTCCAGGAGGTCTATAGTCCAGGACAGAGTTAGGGCCTATCATTGGTAATAACACAACCTTGCGAAACAAAATATGTGAACCTTTGTCTCAGGATAAGTAAAGAGTCCTTCTGTCCTGCCTGTGGGTGTGGGGAGGAGAGTTGGAGGCCTAGACTATTTTCTATGACCTCTCTTGCTCAGGCAAATCAGCATTTGGTATCTGCTGTGAACCTTAAGAGCTCCTTCAATACCGATCTTAAATGAGCCCCGTGTAAAATACCTCTGGAACTTCTCCTTGATTTCTCAGTCCTAACCGTTCTCACTGCTATTTGACCATTTTTTCCCCTAATCACCGCCCCATGTCTTTAAATTCAGCCCTGTGTACTACTGAGTTCTCTTCCTAAAACGGGTAGGAGTGCTGAGAGCATGCTGTCCCAGCCCCTGCACTAGTAATCTGGATGGCTTTGTCCAGGGTCTTGTCCTCAGCAGAGGGCAATAAATGTTTTCTGTGTTTCCTTCTGAGGCTGAACACAGTTTTTCTTTCTTCTCTTTTAAATTGGTATGCATAAAATGTGGGTTGCAAAGGTTGCTTTGCTTTTGACAAAGCTGGAGGAAAGAGTTTCCCTAATGCAATTTGCTTGAAGACTTCCTCCACAGCAAAAGAATGATGTGTGTCATATCAACATGGTGACACAGATGCAGGGCCATTTGCATGCAGAGGAGGAAATGTGCCTGCAGCCCCTTTGCCACCTGAAAAATTATATCTAGGCAGATATTTTTTCTCTTTAATATATTATTTTGAGGCAGTTCCAAAATAGTGCATTTAGATACTCTGTGTTTTAAAGAAAGTAATAATGGCCACCAGATTTTTCCCAAGCTCATGTTCCATTTGTGATTCCTACATCTGTACTTTTAGGAGAATGCAACTGAGAAGGAGGTGATTTGCTGGGCCCCCTTTGGCCGTGACTGGAAGTTGTGCATAGTCGATTTATAGGCTAGGGCTAATGCCCCTCGTTCTCCTTGACCATGCTGTTTCTTAGTTTTTGTTAGTGCTCATGAGGTAGAAGATGTCACCTCCCAGCCTTGGATGTAAAATTGTGGGAGGACTGAATGAATAATGTCCTTAGCGGGTCTCTGTGGGCAAATTAATGTTGCCCTTATTGTTATTATCCACAAGTTTCAGGATCTCTTCATCTACTTCTGTTTCTCAAAGAGTTTTTGAAGATTTGCATTCTTTATTGATCGGCCATCTCTGTACAGATTGCTTTCAGACACTCTTGAGAGCTCTCAGGCTGAAATTTTGGCTGGCGAGATAGATAGATTTTGTGGAATGATGTACTTCATACACTGGCTTTGACCATTAGGGCAGCAGCCTTTGGCTGTTCTTTTCTTCCGTTTTTCCGTTTATTAAAATATTCTGTATGTAAACCTTATTATGCCATCAAAAGCTTGTTCTAGTTTTCTGTGAAATGCCTTAAGGGCAATATTGACTGAATCCTTACATGGTCTCTGATTGTAGGTGGCTTTTTATTAATGGCACTTGTGAAAAATGCCACTCTTGCAAAAGCACATTAAAATACTTAATAGGGGAAGACCTCCCTTACAGTTATAGTGTTGAACATTTGCTTCTTTCAGTAATTATTTGGTTCTTTTTGATCCACCTATAAATGAAGAATCCCCCCTGCCTTCCTATAGTGACAGGGAAGTTTATCTACTCAGCAGTTTCTTCTGCTGGCTCTGTAACTAACAGAGCTATGAGCCTATCCAACTCTTCTTTTAGCTTCTGCCTTGGAGGCAGAACTAAATTTCCACTCCCTGAAAGAGCTGAATTAAATTTCTTTGAGGGCATTGTGTTGTGATTGGTTTCTTTTACCTCTATTCCTTGCTTGCTGGCTGCTTCTCTCCCTCCTGGAAGTCATCTTCTGTACCTTCCATCTCCTCCAACACTCTCAGCCAATGTCTTCTGTGCCTCTTTCTCCAAATAAAACCAACAATTTGATACAGTTTTAACCCCAGCGTGATTATTTTCTTCCCCAGTTCTCTGCTGAGGGAGATATTTGTCCATCCATCCATCCATTTATTAGCATCATTTATCCATCCAGTTAATCCCTGTACTGCCTAACTGGGGTAAGACCATTCCTATAAAACCCAAGTCAATCCAATTTACCTTCTTTTGCCTATGGATTTTCTCTCAGATCTAATAAGACTGCAGCTGACACCATAGGTTTGGGTACCTATATGCAGCTGAAAATTGAGGCATCCCTTTTTACTCTGGTTGATTGTATGTTCATCTCCAGGAGCAGTGTTGCCCCCTCTCCCCATGTGGTCTTGCAGAGCTTAAACTTGTTAGGTTGTTCCTTACTGCATGAAAGAGCTATTTCAGATATTCACAGCTAGGTGGGAAATAGAGGCATTCAAAAGCAAAACGTTACTCAAAGTCATAAGGAAGGAAATTTGCCTTTATAAAAATTTTGTATGAAGAAGCCCATTTTCTCTTGTGAAGAGCTCTCACGCACCATATCAAGCCTGTGTTTTGCCAAAGGAGGCATCAGTTGAAACAGCAGCAGCCAAAAGGCTTTGATTTATTTCATTTATTTTTAACTTTCTATTTGAGACGTCAGAGGAAAAAAAAGATGCTTCCTTTGAGAGCCCTTCAACTCTGAGAAAGATACCTGCTGTAGTCTAGAAATAGGCTTGCGCTGAGAACAGCCTGGCCAAGCACTGCCCAGGGGGCTGTATTTTGTTCTTTCTTTTTTTCCTTTTTTTTTTTCTCTGTTATTTGGCCTGAGCATGTCCATGGCTTTTGAAGGCTGCTGCTGCATGTTTGAGTGAGGGCTGGCTGGAAGGGTCCAGCTCACAGGAGTGGAGCTCAGTGACAGCCTGGAGGTCCCAGGAGATGGCAGTCCCGGGTGCGTCAGGCAGGCTGTCATGAGGCGTGCGTGTCATATGGTGCTTTTCAGACAAAGATCCCTTTCTTTCTGTGTCTGGTGGGTTCTCCGTCAGTGGGAGAACCTTGTCCTGCAAACAGAAATCAAACCTCCGTAACTACAGTGTTACTCATAAAACACGACTTCTTTACCAATTTGTACAAGCACTTTGACCTCTTGCCTTGGCACACAGGCTTGGAAGATTTTTCATCTTTAGCCCTTTTTATGGTTTCAGCAGAAATACTATAAGAAAGTTTATTTTGGGAGTACTTTTGATCTATCTCAAACAAGAAGCTGAGCTTGTGACCTTACAGGCAAAACTACTATCGATTGTCCAGCACAATTGTTAGCTCTAAACCAAAACAATTTCAGGTTGCGGTTTACTTCTGGTTTAAATTTGGAACTATTTTTACATCAAGAATTGGTGTTATGTGTTTTTGACAAAGATGAGAACAAAATCTCTACTTGCAACAGCTTCCATTCCTAATAGAGGTAAGAAATTTATGTAAGAAAATTGCAAGTGAAAGAGCAGTGCTGATTATCAGGTTAAGCATCTCTATTTTTTTTTTCTTGATTGAATTGTTCTTTCTAAGGTAAGATTTTACTGGGGGCAGGAATAGAGTTTCTAGATTTCACAGCAGGAAAGTCTTCTAACAAGAAATGAAGGTAAGACAGTGAAGGGGTCAGGAAAATAGCCTAAGCAAAAAGGGATTGTCCAGAAGACAGTGCAGCAATAAGAATGGGGAGAAAGATACTAGTTCACAGAAGAAAAATGCAGTAGCCATTTGAATTTTTATTTAGCCATTCAGTAGCAAACACAATAGCCACCACAGCATATTAGCATGTGGGCAGTAATTAACAGCAGTCACGGTCACCATCCCAAGTACCCAGAGAGAATAAAAACTTTTTTGTTTGTGGATATGTTATTTTTAAAGGGAATTATCTTACACGTCACAAGATTTAAAGACTGCAAGAGACGTGGCAAGGTGGAACCAGACACAGCTTCCAGAAATAATGTTTAAAAGCAAAGCAAAACTGAAAATGGAGAGAGGTAGATATTTGGATTCTAGGATTGTACTTGAGGTTTCTAATGTTTAATTGCTGCAAAGTAAACTTGTTTATGAAAGTGAACTATGTAAGAGAAATGATTTAGGCTAGCAGATTAGTCAGCTTTGCCATTGCTGTTCAGTCAGCTGGTCACTTCCCTGGGTTAGGGGTAGTGCTCTACCAAACAGCAGGTTTTACTGGTTGGTCCTATACTGATAAGAAAATAATTCTGTTTTTATGACACCATAGGTCATCAATAAAATAAGAAACAATTATATTCCTCAATACTGCAAAATTGCCTGATTTACTATTCTTAGATTTCTTTCTTTTTTTTTTTTAGTAAACTGGTTCTTTTTCAAGTATATTAAAAAGCCCACCTCAGCCACATGTTTTTGCAAGGGATTTTATAGAAGTTAGCTTCTGATTTACATATGAGATGCTGTATACTAAGTGTGCTAGTAGTTAATTCACATTCAGTACCTAGAGTGTGATTCTGCTATAGTTAACTCCCTTCAGGGTCAGGCTGGAATACTCTAAAGTATGATTGCCACAAAGACTTTTTCTTCGTATAGAGGTAGTTACTGCTCTGATCTGTGTAGCTGTGTTTGCACTGAGATACATAACAGTGAAATAACTTGCCAGTTTTAAATGCTGCACAGGATGGACAAAAGTCAGCTCTAACAGCACTAGAGTTTCATGAATAAATGCGTATTACTGCCATGAATTAAATTAACCATTAGCATTAGAAAAATGTTATTATCTCTTTCAATTTCTGGGGATTTTATTATTCTCTCTTAGGATAAGAAGACACTAAAGTCCTTATTTTGGAGGGAAAATAAATGTTTTTACTTCAGAAATGTCCTTACTTCTCAGGAAGTAAATAGCACAGGATAAAGTTCCTAAACACTTAGCAGAATGATACCTCTCCGCTCTGCTTTCAGCCTCAGCAAAAACAGAATTTTGGCTAGCAACTGGTATTTTGTAGGAATTATGCCTGCTCAGATCTTTATTTTTATATTGCTGCAACTTTTTCTCCTGATTCTTGCAGAAATGAGGCTTATGCAAGCATGCTGCATGTGCCTGTATCTCCATGAGTTCCACACCCTGGTATCTTTTGAACCTACTGACAAATTTCAACCAACTCGCTCAAAAAACGTCAAGTTCATACAAGTTTTATGAAAATAACCTACTGGACAGTGCTTTCACGGAGGGTTAGGCTGCAGTGCAAAGAGGCACCATTTGAGATGACAGAAACTCCACTTCTAAGAAAGTGTTTGTAAAAGTCTCACCATGGGGAAAGTTTCAGCGAAAGCCTGTTACTTCCTTGGTTTGAAGTCAATCAAGTCTGATGCAGAGACCTTTCGGGAGCCAGGCTTCGTAGTACTGATCTCCACAGCACATGGGGATGTTATTTTGCGGTAATGATTTACCACCTAAACTACCTTTAAAGCAAATGTTTGTTTCTTTTTTTTTTTTCCTTTAGGACCAAAAACTACCCAATAGCCTTTCCTTTAAGACCAAGACATTACTTTGTCCATCACCCTAGAAGTCAGCTCTTGACCTTCATCACTGTCACTTTTCTCCATGGATTCTGTGGGTTTAAAGTTACAGGATTGTCGAAACAGATAACAAAGTGCAGAAGGCTGAAAAGTGGCTGGGATGAACCTTTAGGGACAAAGTTTATCTGTTCGAGCATTTCCTGTGTGTACTTTGAAACCTCTCAATTGAACTTGATCAAAGCACGAGCCGACACATTTCAGCTACCTACTGAACAAACAAATTTACTGCTTATCATTGTTGCCACCTCAGTCTTTAATTTACTTTACTTAGTAAGCCAGTACATGTTAAATGAACAACCTGTTCATCACAAATGCTAGTTTCAGGTCTTAAAAATAGGCTATAGTTCACCTGACGTTAACATATACAGCATATCATAGGCTCTCTCCTTCCCCAGAAACCCTATATAAAAGGAGGTTTAAGTCATATATAGTCAGTGTGGAAAACAGTGGCCTCTTTGGGATCACTATATCCATCAACCTCCATTGGATTTTTTTTTTTTGGTATATATATATCTCGGGCTTTGTCCTTTCTTTTTCATTAACTACTGTAGGACATATGAGGACTGAGAAATTAATGGCAGTGTTCTTAAAATGTGTTAGTTAACTCACACTAACATATTTCAAAACACAGTTTAGCACATATGGATTGACAGATCATTTTAAACATCGCTTTCTTTGTCAACAGTAGTAACTAATACTTTTTTAAATGTTCTGCTAGTTAGGGAAAAAAATAATTGTTTTTTTCCCCCATGAAAAAAGTGTTTACTTAAATTAATAATAAGAAAGAAAATACTATTGTGAAGTGTTGCATCAAAGGAGCATGGCCAGACAGCCTGGGCTGTAGAAAATAATGAAGTACGATGACAGCCTTTCTTTTTTTAATCTAAAACAATTTGACCAATGTTTTTAGTCAGTGTTCTAAAATATTTTGATTGTTTCCCACGCAAAACTATTGGCACATATTTTCCAGCTTATGTGGCCTTCCTTATTCTCAGGGAAATGGAGTCCAAATATTTTGATTTTATTGATAACTGCTCATGGGCAATAGCATGTCATCCCAGAACGAGAGCCAATGATGTGGCACATTTAGAGAGGTTGCTCCTCCTTCAGGGAGCACCTGCAAGGGAAGCTGTTTAGCTCTAGGCCTCCAACCACGGGCCTTGCCCTGGCGTACACGTCCAGCGCACATTGGGGCAGTGGGAATGGGCCGACTGCGCGAGGAAGCTCCTACCATCCCTCCAACACGTGTATTTCTGGGCCTGCACTCCAAATCGCAGCAGCAAAGTGTCCTGGGTTAGGGGAAATAACGGATGAAGCAACCAGCCTCCCGAACCAGCTTTGCTATCAGATCTTTACATTACGGATACTCTTACTCATAAAACAAAATAGAACAGGGTGTTTGGTACTGGTAGATACAGGTATAAATTATTCTTCAGAACTTCAAATTGCGATTACCATTGTGATTACTGCTGGAAGCTTGTTTCCTTCTTTCAAGTAAAAATAATATCTTAAAACATTCTGTAAACTCAGCTATTAAACATAATGAATTTTTATTCTACTTCTGTGTCATCACTCACTGAAAATAAAAAATGCTTAAACAATGTAATTTATGATGGAGATTTTCAAAAAACATGCAGAGGACGTAGCCACATGTTTCCTCTGTAGATTAATGGAAAATGCATGACTCTTTCCTACACTGCTTTGTAAACGTCAATCAGGGACTTCAGAGAGCATGTGTAAGAAATGACAGAACAGCCCGCCACATATGGTAGTGTCTACTGACACAGATTAACCTCCATATGCAATTCTACTAATAAACGTTCCATATCTTTCTCCATAAAAAAACAGAGCATGGATAGTAGAGTGTGAGGTTTTGTGAACTTTGCAGACTGTATTATGTTTTTGCTAGCTTGCTAAACTATTTAAAATGTACAAAATGCTTTCCTTCACAATTTAAACTTGAATTGATTATTTTCCTTCTCTGATGTTATTAGCATAAACAAGCAAGAAGACTTATTTTTCTATCTAGATGAAGCCTGTGCCAGATACAGAAAAATCTTGGTCTAAAAGACGGATTAACACAAGTGAATGTCTTGCATTTTTGGATTAGCTGTAATGACAGCAATTGTTGAGATAATCCAGGATTTACTATTATCCGTAGTCTAACTGGTGCTGCCATTTTCAAGAACAAATTTATCAGATGATAAAACTGAATGGGAAATGTTCCTGTGCTGTGCTAAGATGAAACAGACTTCTGGAAGTAGTCTCCAGTTAGGGAAAAGAAAACATTTGCTCTGGACTATGTGCTAGCCTGCTGCTTGGGCTTTGCACCAGGAATATGGGAGATGCAAGTTTAAGTCCTTCTTTCACTTGAGATGGTTCCTTACTTGCCAGGAGGCATTCCCTGGACACCAGTCTATCGGCCGCTCAGTGATGGGTCTCCCCAAATATTCTTGGTTATATACAAGTTGCTTGTTCTTCTCTGAGAGCGGTTGTCTGTATGGACATGGGTTTGGGCACTCCTCTGGAATGGGGGAGACTCAGATTCATGTCCCAGCTCCAGGTGTTTTTCATTTATTAAAAGTGAAACCACTCTAGTGGGTGGACTTGAGAAATGAAGTCTTCCCCCTCCCACTACACAGTGCTTGTGAGGAGCACACCTGAGACTGAAATCCTTGGTCCAGCTCTGGCAGAGCAGTTACGGTGCCTGGAGCAATAGAAGCTTTTGCTTTTACTTGGAAGTTTCACTCCAGCAGGTGTATTTCCATAAAAACCACTCATTTTAACAAGTCAATATTTTGTACTAAAAATTCTTTTGTCAAAAATGTCCTTACCAGCTCTAGAGAATAGGAGGTAGAAGGGTGGGTTCCTGGAGCTGCTGTGTTAATTTGGACCTTCTCACTCAGTCCTGAATAAAACTTTATCCCTGTAGTTCCTCAGGCTGACTACTCTTAGCAGCTGTCACAGCAACATCTTTCCTATACACCCAGGCAGTCTCCCCTGCACTTGCAGAATGACAATACCTTCTTCACTGAAACTCTAGTAGCAGCTGAGAAACCTCCAACCCTTGCTTTTCAATTAATTGAACAATTTTCCTTTTCCCTCCTTCCCCAAGTAAATCCATCTATGTGTTAGCCCTTTTTCTTCTGCTACCCCTCCACTGTGGCTGGGGCAGCTGACCTGGAGCTCCAGGGAGCCATCCCTACCACTGTTATGTCACACGTAATCGCAGGAAACCATAGCTGACATTGTTCGGAGTGTGCTTCTAATCACTGCAAACCCGGTCTGAGGTCTCCCCAGCTGTGCTGAAGCAGCCAACCGATTCGGGCCCCCTAAACAAGCAGGGCTGCGTGGAGAGCAGCAGCCCAAAGGCAATGCATCTGACACGGGGAGCCCTCACGCTGTTTGTCTCTTTGTTCAGAGTGAAAACAAAATATTTCAAATCCCCCATAAAAAGGAGTGGCTGTCTGCTGCTGAGCTGCACAGAAGTCTTGTCTCCATGGCAGTCTAGTTGGACTGCTGGAAAGCACAGAAACCCTGTGGCCTCGCTTGCTAAAGGGGTGGGAGCCAAGATCTGGGAGACTTCCACCCTTCCGAGTCCTCCCCTGCCTCCTGGCTATTACTTACACTTTTCTAGTCAGTTTTATGGATGGGTAGAGACAAAAGAGAAAATAGAGAAGAGAAAAAGTCTAGCTGTTTCTGTGATACAGCTACCTGCTATTCTCTTCTCTGGTCGGCCACCTCATTGTGCATGCTATTCTTTTCCTCTACAGTCAGCCAATGTTTTAGTTGTTTTCAGTTTCCCAAGGATAAGTTATATTAAATTCAAGTGCCACTTTTGGTTTTCAAAAATTAATCTTTCCAAAGCATCTATGTCAGGAAAACTGCTGTTCATTAGTAGGAAATTATTCAGAAAAAGGAAGATGATTTGCTTATTTATGTAAGAAACTGCTGTACAATTAAGTACAGATGTAGGTCAGTAAAATAAGTTCTTTGATCTATTGCTACAAGGAATTCAGTGTAAATACGTTTCCTGATAAGAGTCGCTACTGCGTAATTGCATTTTACAAACTGCGTAGTGTGCTATTACTCAGGAAATGTGTTTACTGATATGCATGTCTCCGCTCAGCCTCATGGCTGAAAGGTTTGCTTTTTCTGATGTTTATAGTTCTTTCACATTTTGAAATAAGGCGATTAAACTCATGAAGGGATGGAAGAGAGTACAAATAGGGAAAATTGATTCTAGAGCATACAAAACCACTATTGAAATAGAGACCAGTTGATTGTTTTTAAACATAGGTTAGTGGCATTTGAGATTAAACTGCAAGACAAATATTAAGAAGGATTAATTTATACTGTCAACTCTGACTGTTCTGAGCTTCATCCTTTTGTTAGAGTAGATGAGAGTATAATTCCATCACAGCTATAAAAAAGCTTGCTCTTTTTGTCGTTTTATCCAATTTTACAGAGAATAATACTCCCTGTAGAAACTTAGCTTCTTCAGAGCTTGCACAGGAGCTGCTAATTGAATGTTTTGAATGCTCACTAGTTAGTCACCTAAGGATAGACTTGACCTGGGCTTTAGGGGGATTCCTGATATACGAAGGTAGGGCTCAATGTGGTGTTGTTATAACTCTGTCACGATTCTGTATTTACTGCAGATGCTACCATTATAATGAAGGGTTCCAGGTAATTCTTTTCAAGTCTGGGTTTTAACCACTGAGAACCTATCAGAGCAATGGCTTATTGGATAGAAGTTGTTCAGCTGGGCTGAATTCAACTTGTTAAACATTGCCTCTGTGTGAAAATATGCATATTAGTGTATAGATTTGAGCTAAGCCATCTCAGCTTGGGGAAAGCGAAAAGACCATAGCATAATTAAAAACAAGGAGGGGAAATGTGTCTATATTTGTATTTCTTTGTTTTGAAGAACACATTTTTGAAGCGCTGGAAGCAGAAGGCTTCCAGCCTCTGACAGAGGCTGTGATTTGACTGGTTGCAGGCTACTGAAAAATCCCACTTTGCCAAAGCATGGTATTCATAACAGAGTAAATGAGCCGTTTAAGCCTGGAGTGGGACGTCCACCATTCTTATGGTCTGTAGTAGACAACAGAGTTAAAAACAATGGGTCGTTACTGAGAGAGAGGATGTGGTTTTGGGTTAGCAGCCAGGGTGGGAGGCAATTCCCGCATCCTGCACTATCTTCGGGTTCTGGAGCCAAGCATGTTGCAGCATACATAATGTTTTTGCTAATAAAAAAACAATTTGTACAGCTCTCTTCTCTACAATAATTTCAGGATGAGGCCTTCCTGGAGAAGCCTCACTTGCTCCGGTGGGGAGCACAACATGCAATCACATGAGAGGTGGCCTGAGGCTCCTTTTTCTCAGGAAAACTAGGATTGGTACTGAACCAGGGGAGAGAACTTGCCTCTTCTCATGACAAAAGAGGGCCACAGGGGTGTGAAAATCTGTGAAATGAGCTTGGAAATTGAAACCGAATTTGTCTTTGCTTCCTAGCTGTGCAGGAGCAGTGGGAGCCTTCCCCACGTCCTCCATGGTAGATGTGCAGGGGAAAGAGGTGATGTGGTGTGGTTGGAGCTGTGCCTTGGGCATGCTCAGGAGCCCTCGGTGCTGGCTTAGGCAGAGCTCAGCAGTCGTGGGCTAAAGGTCTAGCTGGCAGGAGCTGAGTCAGAGCTACAGCCTCTCAGAGTACAGATGGTACCATTTCTTTTTAGTGATGTTTGGTACAAATGTAGGCTGTGCTTTATGTATAATTAAACTAAATGATGGAAAAAAATTGTTTGGCAAAGTGAAAGGCCTCCAGCTTTTTCTTCTGGTAATACAGGAAGGTGCCCTCTAATGATGGAAAACTCCATAGGAGGCAACAATGGCATGGTGAGGCCATTGGGATGGGTCGAGATTTAGGTGACCCAAGCGCTTTACTGCTTTTGACCTCTCTGCACAGATTTCTCTTGACTTCTCTAGAAACCAGTACCCTTTTGTGCGTGACAAATGGAGACAGTAATACCTGCCTTTTATCCTAACTCACTTAGGGACCTACTGGTGGAAAGCATTTGGTGGGCCAGTCCACATTCCTGATGGCAGTTCAGAAGGTTAGGATCAGGTTCTGAAAAACCTAGAAACGACTGTTGATAGTGTGGTCTTTGCGTAGTTACAATTTTTAGAGTGTGCAGAAGAAGACCTCTCCTGCAGATGTTCTGAGGTATATAGGATTGGCATTGCCGTAGTTGTAAGACAAGTCCTTTTTTTTCCCTCTACATCTTTTTCTTTTTAAAATACTTCAGAATGTCGAATAGCGGCGGGGGGGGGGGGGGGGGGGGGGGGAGCAGGAACGACACCTATAAACCAGTGCAGGAATGTATTTTAAGCAAATGTCAGGAAATGACAATGTTCAGGTTGCGCACAGAGTCTGGATTTGTCTCTCTTGTGACTCCAGTCTCTAATTCTATGAACAAATACCATTTCCTAAGTAAGAAAATACAAAAATGTGGATTATTTAATACCACAGACAAACACAAAAGTCTCACCAAAGATGTT